GGGTGTGAAGTGTTTAGAATAATGCCCAGCACCTAGGAAATGCTACATAAGGACTTGTTGTTATTGTTTGTATTATCATAAAAGTAGTTGTTACTCTTGTCATTATTACCATTGTTTAGTGGAATCTAGCTGCCCAAAGACCCCAGTGGGCTACCAGAGCAGTCGGTGATTGGGGGCAGCTAGGGCTCGTGGTTTGGGGGAGTGGCCAGGACCCAGGTCTACCTTTTCACCCACAGGTGTATGAGGATCGGCAGCGGCACTGGCAGCGGGAGCGGGAGGCCCTGCGAGAGGATGGTGCAGCCCAGGCCCAGCGGGCCCAGCGAGCCCAGCAGCTGCTGCAGCTGCAGGTGTTCCAGCTGCAGCAGGAGAAGCGGCAGCTGCAGGATGACTTTGCACAGCTGCTGCAGGAACGTGAACAGCTAGAGCGGCGCTGCGCAACCTTCGAGCGAGAGCAGCGGGAGCTCGGACCACGACTTGAGGAGACCAAGTGGGAGGTGGGTCAGACCAGGAAGGAAAGGAGCAGGGTCCTACAGGAACAACCCCTAGAAAGAGAGGCTCAGGAACACTCCATGAGCCTGCCACCTCCAGAGGGCCTCTCCTTTTTCACCTCTGTGAGATGAGGATCCCCCTCTGACCTCCCTTTCTGGGAGGGGGCCTCCTTGTGCCATGTTTGGTGTCCTCATTAGTGTGGTCTAGTCCCATAGCTGGTGGCATTTCCACACACTGCCTTCTAGCCAGTAATAAGAATGTAGTGCTTGCTATGCACCAGGCGCAATTCTAAGCATGTTGTTTAGACTATATGTCATCTAATCTTCATTAATACGCCTGTGAGGTGGGTACTGTTAATATCTCTATTTTAGAGATGCAGAAACTGAGGCCCAGAGAGGCTGGAGCCCAAAGTTATACCCAGTCTGTGGCAGAGTTGAGATTTGAACCAAGGCAATCTGACTTTGTCTATGCTTTTAACCTAAGTGGTTTAAAGATACCACTTTGAAAGGAAAAAATCTGGGTCTGTATTCCAGTTTAGCCACTGACTAACTGTATGACCTTGCACGTCACTAGGCTTGCCTCAGTGTCTTCATCTGTAAAATGGTAAGGGTCAAACCTCCTCTCCAGCAAATGTCCAGCATGTTGTCAGGGCCTGACCCCCCCTCCCCCAGGAGAACCCTTCTCACCATCCTTCCTGACTCCCTCCCACCACCAGGTGTGCCAGAAGTCGGGCGAGATCTCTCTGCTGAAGCAGCAACTGAAGGAGTCTCAGGCAGAGCTGGTGCAGAAGGGCAGTGAGCTGGTAGCCCTGCGGGTGGCCCTGCGGGAGGCACGGGCAGCACTGCGGGTCAGTGAGGGCTGGGCACGGGGTCTCCAGGAGGCAGCTCGCGCACGGGAGCTGGAGCTGGAGGCCTGTTCCCAGGAGCTGCAGCGGCACCGCCAGGAGGCTGAGCGCCTGCGGGAGAAAGCTGGGCAGTTGGACACTGAGGCAGCTGGACTCCGGGAACCCCCTGTGCCACCTGCCACTGCTGACCCATTCCTCCTGGCAGAGAGTGATGAAGCCAAGGCACAGCGTGTGGCAGCCGGGGTTGGGGGAAGCCTACGGGCCCAGGTGGAGCGGCTACGGGCCGAGCTACAGCAGGAACGGCGGCGGGGCGAAGAGCAGAGGGACAACTTTGAGGGGGAACGGCTGGCCTGGCAGGCAGAGAAGGAGCAGGTGATCCGCTACCAGAAGCAGCTGCAGCACAACTACATCCAGATGTACCGGCGGAACCGGCAGCTGGAGCAGGAGCTGCAGCAGCTCAGCCTGGAGCTGGAGGCCCGGGAACTCGCCGACCTGGGCCTGGCTGAGCCAGCCCCCTGCATCTGTCTGGAGGAGATCACTGCCACCGAAATCTAGGGCCGTTGGTGTCCCAGCTCTGCAGGGAGCTCTACTGAAAGGGAACAGTTGCCTCAAGTCCACTGAGGGCCCTAGAGCCACTCGTCCCCTGGGATCCAGGCCTCTGGGCCCTTCCCAAGAACCCAGGGCTGCCCTATGACTTGGATGAGCAAGATCAGACCCCTTGGAGGTCCCTGTGTTTACTGTCACCAAGAGGCTCCTATTCACTCTACCTGTTTCACTCCCCACCTGTTGCCAGTGCCACTCTGCCAACCCCATTCACCCTAGACACTCACCAGCTCAACCAGCCAGGGGGCTGGGGAGAGGAAGGAGCTCCCTCATCCCCACATTCTCCCTCACTCCAAAGCCAGAGAGAGCCAGACAGCGCCAGCTGCTCCAGATGTGCCTGCCCCACCCTGCCCATGTTGGGGGACAGGGCTGGGACTGGGGCCTGATCCCCATCTTCCAGCTCTGCAGCCTCTCACTTGTGGTGAGGGGCCTATAGTCAGACCAAAGGAAGAACTCTGAAATGTCTTGTTTATTTGTGTTTGTGACCAAGTGGCCCCTCCCTACACCCTGGTTTATGGCCTCGTTTTCACTTGTATATTTTTCACACTGTAAATTTCTTGTACAAACCCAAAGAAAAAAATTAAAAACTTTTTTGATTTTTAAAAAAAGGTGAGAGTGCTAACTAAAGATTATGGGAACTTGTTTGACCCTCCCCCACCCCCTCTTTACTTGCTAGCTATCCCCCTACCCCTCATGGAGGTCTTAGGGGGAGAAAGGGAGATGGGGAAAGGACAAATCCAGTAGTAGAAAGTCTAAGGCTAGCAGACCACAACATGAAATGGTCTTGGGGTTTGAGAAACTAGAAAAGACTTCCATCCTGTCCCTTGCACAGAACACTGCTTGGGGCTGGGAGGTGGAGGCAATGACTGCTTGAGGGCTGTATCTGAGAGTATATGCCCCTCAGTGCTTGGGACAATCAAAAGGGGCATCATGAGAAGGTGCCCATCAATTCCAAGCTCCAGACTAAGTTTCTCGACCCCCTTCCTGTCATTGGAGGTTAGGAGGGGTCAGTGAGTGGGTGACATAGGCTGCCCAGTAGCACCTTGTCCTTGACACCAAGTTTGTCTGGAAAGGGCAGAGCCTTAGTGATAACTAGGGAGGGAAGAAAGCAGGGAAATCTGAGCCACCAGTGGAGCTTTGGGAGTAGGCAAGGCAAGCAGGAGTGGGAGGTTCCTAAGTCAGAAGGTTAGTAGGCAAGGTCTGGGAGAGAGCAGGAGGATTCTGGGGTCAGTGGGAGGATCTGAGGTCAGTGGGAAGAGCCATGGGATAGGTAGGGAGAGTCTGGAGTTAGAATCTGAAGTCTGGAAGGTTGGAGGGGGCACTGAGCTGGGGATCAGCTGGAGGAGCCTGGGATCAGTGGGAGGGGTCTGGGTTTTGTTGGGAAGGGCATTGTGAGGTTCTGGCAGCCAGTGGGAGTACCACCAAGGGGTCAGCGGGCAGGGGAATGATCAGCAGGAAGGAGCTGATCACTGAAGGCTGATGAGTCATAGGTTAAGGGTGGTGGGTCAGGCCAGGGGACCCTGACCACAAGCTCCATGGGCTCCCGAGCTTTGTTTCGATAAGCCCGGCGGATGGTATCCACTGCTCGCTGGTGGGTCACCTGCTCCAGGCTCTCTCCATCCACTGCCACAAGCTCAAAGCCAGCCTAGGATGGGAGTGGGAGAATCACAGCCCTCCCTCATCAGGTGACCCCCTACCCCAGCATCCAACCCCTCACCTCCACCAGCTAGGGCATTCCTCTCCATCTGGTGGAGGGGATGGACAATGGGACTTTTGTGCCTGGAGCTGTTGGGGGCTGGGTGGGGCAAAGACAATGGCCCTTTGTCCCTTGGGGCAAGGGGTGGAACAGGATGGGCCACCCTCAGGCCCAGGCCAGCATGAGGGGACAGATTTTTTCCTTGGCCAGCTCATCCTGCAGGCCTGACCCCTCTCCTCCCACAACCTGGTCTAAACATGCCTGGCTGGCAGATGAGCATATACCAGCCTGCCTCAGCCAGAATCAGCTGAGGGAGTGGGCCTGGGTGCCCTTCACCCACCTGCAGGGCCCCACTGAGGAAGGCAGCCCCCCCAGGGAAGATCTTTTCTATCTTCACCATGGGCTGCACCTTGGACTCAATGCCCCCTGAGATGCTGATGCCTAGTGAGAGTGAGAAACACAGAGTGGGAATGTGCCATACTCCTAAAACCCAGAGCTCCAGGGTAGACCCAGCACCCCTCCCCAAATCCAGGACCCCCAACTTTTCCCAAACTCCAATTCTGTTACTAGTCAATCCTCAACTCACTACAAAATCCTCCAGATCCCAAAGCCCCAAAATCTAGACACCCCTCCAACTATACCCCAATACCCAGATTCTTTTCCTAGGATCAGGCTCCCTAGTCACATCCCAAAACCAAATCCACCAACCTTACCCAAACCCAAGAGCCCCCTGCCAGGCCCAGTCCCACCCATACTCACCCAAAGACTGTTTCATCTTGGATAGCATGACTGTCCTCAGCTCCCCACTAGGGGCCTTCGCGGCTGCCTGCTCGGCTGTCCTGCCAGTTCCGTTCTCCAGGGGCCCTTGACTGCCCCCTGCCTTAGCTACCTGCCCATCCAGAGGTCGTGGCAGAGGGGGCCTGGATTTTCGAGGCTTGTGGTAGCGCCCATTGGCCATGCTGGGGGTGAGAATAGGCGCCGGGGATGGGGAACGCCTGCGTCCAGGGGACTTGCCTCGGCCACGGCTGCGGCTGCGGCTGCGGCTGCGGCTGCGGCTGGGGCTGCGGCTGCAGCTCTGGGCTGGGCCCTGGCTCTGGCTCTGGCCCTGGCCCTGGCCCTGGTTCTGGCTATGGCTATGGCTATGGCTATGGCTCTGGCGAGGGTCTTCTCGGGTCAGGGGTTCTGTCAGCAGCCAGTTAGGCCTCGGGGGCCGGGGAGCAACAGGGGGCGGCTGGGGAGGGGGTGTGCAGGTGCTTCGGCGTGGGGCAAAGGCATCTACTGGCACGTCTTGGAGAGGGGGGATCCCTTTATGAGAGTGGCGTGGGGCAGAGGCACCCAGGGAGACCTGGAGGTCCCCCAGCCGCTCCCTCAGCTCCCCCTCATCTTCCTCTTCAGAGAAGCCATTCGCAGGCAGCAGGTAGAAGCCTCCACGGCTGTCTGGGGAAGAGAGCCAAGGTCAGGCTGCCCCTCCTCACCAGCCCAGACCGCCTTGCCAGACCCCAGTCCTTGCCTTTGTTCCTGTAGGGCCTAGGAGACCAAGGCCTGGGTTTGCTCAGGCCCCACAGTAGCATTCCCTGCAGTGAGGGACACTGCCCATGTTCCATTGTAATAGTATTTTAATACTTTCTATTGTAATAGTTTTTTAAAATGGGTCTAAGAAAAAATATGACTCACACACCAAACTGGTAATTTCTTGGAGGTTATTGCATAGAATGAGACTAGAGTTTAAAAGTGAGTTGGTTTAAAACCAATTATTAGGTAAGTAATAGTGGTGAGCAGATGTGACAGAAATGGTTCTGGCGGATGAGGGCTTTCCTTCAGGGAACCACAAATACCTCTGAAACCACAACAGCCTACAGTCATGGGGGCAGGGACCAAAGGCCTGTTCTCCCTTCCCCAGTTCCCATGGGTGTGCCCCATCCCTGGGCTCTGGGACTCTGACTGACCAGGCACAGGGGTGATGAGGTGACGCTTGGGTGGTGTGTCTTGCCGGGCTGGTCGCAAAGCAGGTGGCCGTACTGGTTGGAGAGAAGAAATCAGTGGCAGGGACGGGCTGACAGGCTCCCTGATGGGCACAGCTGGAAGGAAGGACTCTGCCCCCTTTCCACCAGGATATGCCACCCCATACCCACCTGGGGTTCAGGATCCACAAGTCCTGCCCCCCAGCTGCTGACCTGCCCGGCTCTTGAGGGCCTCAAAAGCCTCCAGCTCCACTGGCATCACCATGCTGTCGAACCGGCCCAGGTCTGTGGGGGCCACCACACTCCTGGGGGAGGGCAAGATGGGGGTGAGCATGGGTTCAGTCCTGGAGGGGCGGGGGGCAGGGGCTTTGGTCCTGGGAAGGTTGGGGGAGGTATCAAGGGTCCCCTTGCTGCAATCCCTTCCTACAACCCCCTCCCCACCTGATGTCCCGCAGCAGCAGCAGCTTTGCCGGCTTGTCCAGAATGGCCAGCAAGGGCCTCACCAGGTCTTCCACGCCGCCCTCATGAACGTACTGCGGAGAGAGGCGCCACAGGTCAGAGAGCAGCAGAGACTTCAGAGCTGGTAGAGGGGCAATGCGGGGGCATTTCAGGGGCGCCCTCATGTTTAAGAAAGGCTCTCCCCATCCCCAGGCTGTCCACAGGATGTCTCGTCTTGATGACTAGGTGGAAGCCTGCAACAATAGTAACAAACTTGTACTAGTGATGACAGCTTTGGGACAGGCACCTTTTTAAGCCTTTTACACATGTCTCTTATTTAGCAGCCACCCCGAGAGATGACAGTATTTGTTCCTAGTTTGCAGATGAAGAACTGAGGCTCAGAGAAAAGGACTTTGCCAAGGCCACACAGATAAGGAAATACGCAGAGGGACTGAAACCTGAGAGGTCCGGCTCTTGCCTATTCTGTACCGGAAAAGGATGTGCAGCGAGTGGACTCTCCTCCCCACCCCCACCTTCTGAGCAGAAGGAAAGAATATGACGGAACACTAGGCTTTGGGCCTGGCCGGCTCATCATTTGTCTGCACACAGACCTACAAATTAGGCTTTGTTCAGGGCTGGAATAAGGACCTTGGGGACCGGGTGGCCCTACAGAAAGCTTCTCCAGTCAGTGCTCAGGGTGGTGGAGGCCCTTCTGCCTGGCACTGCCCGGATGCCACCAGCCACACCCCACCTACGCACACAAACTGGCAAACTGAACCCTGGGAGCCACCCTAATGGACACATACCGCCCCCTAGTGGTGAAAGGGAGACCCGTACTGATTCAGGGACACAAACACAGAGCATCCTGTGTATGAGAAACAGCATGCCCTGGTGGTCAGAGTGAGACATTCATAAATACCTGGAAATAAAGAAAAGATAAACATATGTGTGGGGTCCTAAGCCACACACAAAGTTATAGGGACTCACACATACACATATCGACAATATACCCCCAGATAGTCACAGATGTGCACATACTTCAAGTTCACAAACCTGCATTCAGTACCCACTAAGTGCCAGGCTGTGCACTGGAGGGTGGCAGTGGGGCACAATAATGAAGACCCTGTTCTGGATCTTCAAGAACTACGTCTAGTTGGAATGAGGGGCAGAATGAGCCATGCGCGCCCAGTGAACTAGAAACCACCAACAGAGGGAGTCTCAAGAGTGGGTGGGAAGATCAGAGTTGGCTTCATGGAAGCAGTGGCATTTACACTGACTCTTAAGGATAAATTCAGGGATCGGCATGAAAGTTGGGAGAAAAGTATTCCAAGGATGATATGAAATAACAGGTAGATAGAAGTTTAACTTGATCGTGGGTTACATAAAGGACCTCCATGTAGCCTGCGCAGGTTGAAACTACAGTGTGAGTAGCACCCGTAGAGCTGTACAGTTCATATATAACCTCTGTGCTGACCAGGGGAAGGCGATCTGGTGATGTGGTGACTATGGGCGAGCTGAGGTTAGTGGGTGGGGAGTCAAATCAGGGAGGGCCTTGAGGGTGAGAACAAGGAACTTGTACTCCATTCTGTCAAAGAGATTACAAGGGGGATTGGGATGCAGTGTGATCAGAGAGATGGTTATAATGCCTGGCCTGGTGGCTGTGAAGGGGTGGCTGAGACGAGAGAGGAGTTCAGGGCCACACATCAGAATCACTAGGGAAGCTTTACTAATCTTTCAGGCCACCCCAGAGGGTCTGATCTCTTGTTGTGGGTAGGGTTTGGGTCAGGTTTGGTAGTATTCCGAGCTCCTCAGATGCTGTGGGGACACAGAGGCATCCTGGCTTGGGTGGTGTGGGAGGAGCTGAAGGATGAGGGGGTGGGGAAAGGAGAGAATAGAGAAACAGACACAGATCCCCACCTAGTGGCCACAGCCCAAAGTTGCAGGCCCACAGAGGCTGGTACACACAGCCAGCCCCACTTAGCGCTGAGAGATGAACGTGACACTTAGCTGTCCCCAACATGCACCCCATCACAGGAACCCTGATGTAAACCAGGCCTTGGTAAAGGGATGCATCAATTACCATGTCTTAGTCTCCAGGTGACACATACATGCCTTAGCCAGACACATGCAAATTCACACAGATAGAATCACATAGCTAAGTTGACACAAACCCAGGTACCCCACAAACAGAGAAATGCACACATCACACAGACATACAACACAGCCCCACCCTGACCAAGGTGAGGGAGTGGGGGTATCCACAAACAATTTCCTGAGGCTCCTCAGATTGCCTTGCACACAGGCTTGCGTGTACACTGCTGCAGATTCATCACAGGGAACCCATCACAGAAACCTGAAGGTTCTTGAGACAGCGAGAAGCCCTAAATACTAGAGAGGGCCTTCCAGTCCTCCTAGAGGCAGTGACCTATGCCTCCTGTAGTCTCCCCAACATTCAGGCTACAAAGACTCCCTCAAGTCTAACCTCCACACCACCCTGGGCCTTCTGGTCTGTTTTAAGTGGAAGGGAAGAGAGAACAACAGTGTAGGTGTTGGGGAGATTTGGGCTGCATGTGTGTGGGGGGGGCAAGGGATTATTTACCTGTGCCAGGCCTGTTGGCTGACCCAGGAACAGAAAGGGGCATGAGGATGGGCTGGGGTTTAGAGGAGAACGGAGGCAGGGGACTGCAAGGACTCATGTCCCCCAACTCATCACCTATCTGACTCTTCTCTCCTCAGCTTAAATGTCACCCCCTCAGGGAGGCCCTCCCGGACCACGTCTAATTTGTGCCTCAGGTTATTTTCTTGTGTTCTTTTCCTTCACAACATTTCATATGATTGTCACTATGGGTGTTTAGGTTCTAGTTATGGTCTAGCTCCCCTTTCTGGTTGTGAGCTCAGTATGTATGTGTCTCTGTGTGTGTGTGATGGGGTGACTTCTGCTTTTAATGACCACCGGCCTTACAGTGTTGAGCCCAGATACTGGTCAGCAGATGGTAGCCTGAATGAATGAAGGGCTGGGTGCTGGGGCTGGGGGCAGGCTGGAGGCTCACCCGGGAGCAGTGGCGGGTGACGGCCAGCACCTCATCGTCAGTCAGCAGCCGCCGGGCCAGGTCCTGAATAAGTGGCCGCCGGCTCTCCCAGGCCTGTACCTGCTCATCCACATTGGGCAGCTGGCTGGAGGGGCTCCCAGACCTGGCAGAGAGCAGGGCCCGGCCCCTCTCTCGGTCTGCAGAGTAGAGGCAAAGGGGTATGATGAAGGCGCCTGGAGCCATCAGAGGAGGAGGTAGGGGCTTCCCTAAATGGTGTGTCAGACCTCAGGACAGGCTGGCTGAGAGGCCCAAGTGCCCCTGACAGAGTCCTGGCTTAGCCCAGACGCTCCCCATCACTGTCTCCCATAGTGACCTGCCCACCAATGGAGCTCCACCCAAGGTCCCTCAGCCCCCCAACACAGACCCCTATGTCAGTCTGTTCCTTACTGGAGTCTTGGCCTAGTGGCCCCTGGGTCTCCTGAACATACATTGTCATGTTAGTCTGGACCCCATTGGAGTTCTCACAAGGCTTCCTCATATCCCCCAAATCTGTCTTTGGGAGTCCCAACTCAAGCGCCCCAGTCCTCACAAATGTACCCCAGTATCTGTCTGGAACCCTATCTTTCCTAGACTATTTCTTTTAGCTGCCCCCAATATGCACCTCCCTATCTGCCTGATTCCCATCCTTGATCTCAACTGAGTTTAGCCCCAAATCCCTTAGCTGCACCAACATGCACCCCCCATCAGCAGCTCTGCTGTAAACCAGGCCTTGGTAAAGAGATACATGAATTACCTCGTCTTAGTCTCCAGGTAACAAACTTCTGCACAGGTCCCACTCCCCCTGCTAAGAAGAAAAAGGCTCAACAGCAGGCCCAGGCCCCAAATGGGGGGGGGGATTGGGGGGCTCAGAACTGGCTGGATCAGTGGTTGGAATGGAGAGTTCAGGCTGGAAGGTGGTGAGACGGGGAGGCAAGAGGCCAGGCCATGAGGGTCTTGAAGGCCATGCTCAGGCTAATGACTTCGTTCATAGGCTATGGTGAGCCAGTGAAGGTTTTGGATCAAGAGGGGGTGCAGTATGAGCTCTGCTTATAGAGATTCATTTGGAAGCAAACGTATGGAGGCAAGAACCCTAGGGGTTCTTGGGGGGGGGCACTTACCTTCAGGGGAAAAAGAGAAAAAGGACAGCCTTTGAAGGAAAGAGAGGAGTGGCCTGAGAGGTGGGAGGAGCACCAGGAGAGAGCAGGGCCCCAGTGGCTGTGGAAAGAGAGATGAGTTGAGGAAGGGGGGTTGCCCTGCCCTTATTTGAAGGGATTGTCTCTCCCATGGGACTGTTACTTGAGACCCCAGGGAGGGGCAGGGCCCAGCTCCTCACCGGCTGGTTGTTTTTGCCTACCCAACGTCCAACTCTCCCTCCTGGAACAGCACTCTGATTTCACCTGGGGACTCCCATTATAGTGCTAGTCCCCCAGGGTGGGCACATGACCCTGGCTGGTTGATGAAAGCCTCTCCCCCACGTCACAGTGATTTGTTGGGCATGTGGTCCCAGCTGGGCCAATGAGAGAGCCTGGGACTTCAGCTGGGACTCCAAGGGGAAGCCACAGTGGCCAACTTAGCTGAAGTGGGCAAAGCCTGCATGATAATGAAGCCAGCCTGGGGAGAGGGAACCACAAGATGAGAGGGGCAGAGGTCTGATGAGATTGTTTGCACCTTTAGACCCAGCTCAAATTGGTAGCTGAGCCAAGAGGTGCTTTTTAAAGTTACTTTGAGTTTCTGTCACAGGCAACCCCAAGATTCAACTCATCCACTCTTGGTCCAGCCTCTGAACCTCACCTGGGAGATGAGAGGCCCTCTGTGAGGGGCCTCAGGAAGCCCCTGACATGAGTGCAGCCTGCCTAGGCCCTTCGTCTGGACCCTGATCTAGAAATGGCCTTGCTCAAGGATGGTTCTAGGGCTGGGTAGGGCCTGTGGAGCTCTGGTCAGGGTAGGTAATGCCAAATATTCTAGGAAAAGAGGACCCTTTCCTCCCCTGAGCACCAAGAGCACAGGGATCAGATTCAAACTCCTCCACTTCCTTCTGTGTTGTGACTCTATCAGTTTTCCCGTCTGTAAAATGGGGAGATGCGGCAGTATCACGATGACCACTACGTTTTCTGGGCACCTTCTGTGTGGGAGACAGTGTCCTAAGTGATGAACATACACTAATCCACTTATTCTAAAGATATAGGTATTATTACTCCGATTTTACTCAGGAGGAGACGCTCACAGGGCGGAGTGGTGACTCACAGCTAGTAAGAGGCAGTGTGGGGCTGGATGCCAGAGTGGACTTTTCCTCCCATCTGACCAGCCCAGCACTCACCTTTCTCCATGTCCAGGCGTGGACGGGGCTTGGCCGGGCTCCCTCTCTCCAGCGTCCAGGCCTCTCTGCGCCCGTCCCCCGCCAGCCGCCCCTGCCGCCCTCCCTTGAAGAAGAGGTTCATCAGTGTCTTGGAGCGCTGCAGGGCCCCCTTCTCCCCGGAGGACCCCGACTTCTCCTTCTTCCGCTGTTGCTTCTCCTCTGCAGACACGAGGGAGCACCCGGGGAGCTGGAGGGGTGGGCAGAAGGGAAGGACCAGGGGCAGGGGTGTGGGGAGGGGCAGAGAGAAGGGAGGGTAGGGGGACAGACAGGGTCTGCAGCCATGTGGGGAGGTGGGGATGGGGGGTCTTCCTCCAATTTTTCACCCCTCCTTCACCTATGCGAGGGATCCATGAGGGCTGGAGTGTGTGTGTGTGTGTGTGTGTGTGTGTGTGCATGGATGCGCCCGCGGGGTCTGGGGACTCCAGGCTGAAGGGGAATGGTTAGGGATCTTTTGGGCCCAGAGCTGACTGGAGCTGGGTCTGGGTCTGGGTCTGAGTGTGTTCTGGGTCTAAGGCTGGGTCAAGGCCTGGGGCAAAGGGAGGTTTGGGGCCCAGGACAGGGTTTAAGGGAGGTTTTGGACCAGGGTCTTTAAGAGAGCATCAGCCACCCATCCCCCACGTACCCCACAAAGTCAGGTGGCTCTGGGAGCGTGTGATGGGGGGCCGGGGTCGGCTGAGGGCTAGCAGCAGAGCAGTCTTGGGGGACTCAGAGAGAGCAGAGCCAAGGCGACGGGCAGGTGAGGGTCCATCAGAGCGAATGGCTGTGTCCCTGAGGATGACTGTGGGCCGCACGCTGCACCAGGTCTCCAAGCGGCCCCCCATGTCTGGGTCCGTCTGCATGGCTGTGTCTGCTCGCCCCCAGCCTGGGCCACGGCTGCTGGGTTCCTCAGGCCCCAGGCAGACATCCATGCGGTCAGAGGGCAGAGAGCCAGAGCCCTCAGCCGAGCTGTAGGGGGCACTGGAGGCGTATGAGGAGACACTGGAGCTGCTCTCAGAGGCGTGGGACAGCTGCTGCAGCACCCCATTGCTCACTGCAGGCAGTGGGGAAGCAAGGGAGTGTTGGGGGTCTGTTCAGGTTGCATCAGAGCCTTGCCAGGCTTACAGACCACCCCTGGGCTTGGGGAGCATCTGGTAGCAGCCAAGGTTGGAAGCACGGGATCTGAGGATTTAGCTGCTTAGCATCCTGCCAGCAGGATGAGACCTTGGGGAAGTCACTTCTCCTCCATCCATCCCCTTGGGACTCTAGACCCTAAGAGAGGCTGCAACAGAACCTGCAGCTTCTCAGAGGAGAGCCCAGAAGCAGCTCTGGGCAGTGTGAAAATCCCAATAAGATCTTAGTCCCCCTGCCCACTTATTCTTCAGAGATTCTGGCCCACCCTTGAGCCTCAGCCCTTTCCGTTCAACCTTGGGGGCCTGAGCACTTACGTCGGTCCAGCCAACAGTACTCAGAAACCATCTCCTTGTAGGCAGGATACCGGCCAGTCTCCTGGGGAGGGCATGGTGGGCAGAGGAGGCATGGGGAGGGGGTCGGAAGGGAGAGTGAGAATGGGGAGTGATGGGACAGGAGTAAACTTCTCAACCTATCATCTCCTTCATCATGCTCTAGTCACACGAGCCACTTTACTTCTGAACATACCAAGTTTCTCTACACCTCAGGGCCTCTGCACTTGCTGTTCCTCCTGATTGGATTCTCTTCCTTCAGCTCATCTTGTGGCTAGCTCCTGCTCCCTCTTCTGGTGTCACCTCCTCAGAGAGGCCTGCTCCGAGCCTCCCTGACTAAAAGGGTCGTCCTAAATTACCTCATCCCATCTCTGTTAATTTCCTTATAGCATTTGTCACAATCTGCATGTATCTAGTCTATTTCTCTGTCTCCCCCAGTAGCAGAGACCTTGTCTTGTTCACTGTTGTAGCCTCAATACCTTACATAGTGGCTATCATATAGCAGGTACTTAAAAATATTGAATGAATGAATGAATGAATGAATGAATGAATGAATGAGGGTGGAGTGGGGGTAAGGAGGGGTGTTTGGGATAATTTGAAAGGAAGGAAATGGAGGAATGGAATCTGGGAGAGGTGGAAAATAGAGGCGGTGGTGGCGGAGAATGGTGGAGGAGGCACTGAATGGTGAAAGGCTTGGAGACGCATGAGACGAGTGGAGCAGGGGCCAGGATGAGACACCAGGGAGAGTGAGGCACCACATCCTCCAGGAGCCAGAGTGAGAAGGACCTGATCCTCAGGCAAGTGTGAGGCCCACATGAATAATGGATCCAGCCAACTCCCCTGAAACCCAATCTCTGGCCCCAGCCCAGCCCTTCTTGCCCTGTACCCTGAGGATGCCCACCACTTACATCCTACCCAAAGCCACAGCTACCATCCCACCCTTCTGAGAGCAACATTTTTTTCCTTTTAATCATAGGTCTCCACTGCTCATACAAAGGAGCGCTGCCCTAGACCTGTGGGGATCAGGCCTAGAACCAGGCCCTGCTACTGACCAACTGAGAAATTGACTGTGGTTCCTCGGTTACTTTGCCTCTCTGAGCCCTACTCGCTTCTTCTGCAAAATGAGGACGCCGCCTGCCCTACTCCTCACGCGGTTGTGAAAATGTCCAATTGCAGAGCAATGGGCATAATTAAGTGCTAGAGTGCTCTGGGAAGTCTTTCCTACAGCCTTGCCTCTCCCCGACTCCCACAGTGCTGCCCACCTTGATAGTCATCATGATGTGTGTTTGGCCCTTCAGCACCTCCACGGCCTGGCTGTGGCTGATGTCGTCAAACCTGACACCATTGGCAGCCAGGACCTGGTCTCCCACCTTGATGCCGTTCTCCTCGGCCAGCCCACCATGGTCCACTCTAGGGTCAGACAGGCAGCAGTTTGGTGGGCTCCCTGGCCTGCCCTCTCTCACCCCATTCCAGACTCTCTTCACTTGGTCACAGGGATGACCCCAAACTCCTTGACCCTCCTCCTGGTGACCCCCGCACCCCTTTGCAGATCCCACCCCTGACATAAGTCCTCATTTGAACATGTAGTTGGCCAGGCCTCACTTGCTAACCCATCCCCAGGGCCCAGCCCAGGGCTCATTCCCTACCCTACCATTTCATTCCCTGCCCAACCCTCACTTGGACACGTAGATGCCCAGGCCAAACTCCTTGCCCCCACGGATATTGAAGCCCAGGCAGAAGTCGTCCGAGGTCGTGTAGAGGTGAACGATGCGCCGCACACCGTCCTCTGAGCTGCTCTCAGATGGCGTTGAGCTGCATTTCTCCACTACCAGCCGCCGATTCAGCACATCCACCCTGGGGCAGCAGCAAGGAGCCTTGGCCTGGGCCCCCATCTGCCACGACCCACCCCTCCTCCCAGCAGCCCCCACAACTGCATGGGAAAAGGGGGGTTGCCTTTGGGGGACTTCCCAGGTCTAAGATGCTCAGTGGGACATAGATGAGTCAAATCTGGGAAACCATCCTAATTTCCTCTTTTCATGGAGCAACTGTAACAGCCCAGTCCCATCTCGAATCCTCATAGGCCCGTGAGGAAGAGGCTGTTACTACCTTAAACTCACAGCAGCAGCAGCAGCGTGGGGGGCAGGGCTGGTGGGGTCTGGGATAGCAGAGCTTTGAGAGGAGGGCTGGAGGAGAGACGTGGCCTTTTCTCATTTCAGGGTTGGGCCTTAGGATCCCTGCATTCCAGCCCCAGGGGCTGGGAGAAGCAGAAGCCACACCAGCCAGGACCGTGCAGATCCCTGTGCCCTCAGCCTCCCCTGCCACGGCTTTGGGTGGGGGTGCCGGGGCAGGCAGGGCGGGCCTTCTCACCATGTGGTCTTCTCCTTGGAGAATTTGATGCCCGGCACACGGCCCATGCGCCTCACCATCATGTGCAGGCAGCTGCTGCCTGTCAGGACTTTCACAGCGCTTCCCATGGTGGTGCTCTCCAGGCTCAGCCCGTTCACCTCGGTGATCTTGTCCCCCACACACAGGCCAGCCCGCTCTGCACCAGGGAGACAGGTGGCTGGTGTGGGCCACTTGGGAGAAGTCCTCCAGTGTGAGGCTGAGCCCCCATCAGACCAGGCTCCCTGGGGTAAAACTTCTTCCCTGAGATTGGAGTCCCCAGGTAGGGTCTGTGTGACCCATGTCAGACTATGGACCTGTCCACTAGCCCACTCTGCCCTGGGGGGGGGCTCCATCTCCCCATCAGATCAGACCCTCCAAAGCTGAGGGCCTTTCCTCCCATCCCTGACAATAGCACCTCTGTAGCCCACTGAGGTGGGGTCACATGCATCCCCAGGACCTCACCCCCGGGGACCCCGCTCACCTGCACTGCTCCCCTCCTCCACCTTGCTGACGAAGATGCCTAGGCCATGCTCAGAGCCGCCCCGCACACTGAACCCCAGCCTCCCTGCTGGACTCTTCTCCACTCGGACCGCATGGATGATGTCACTCTCATCACTGTTGGCTGTGGGGATGGGGACACAGGCATGACTCCCATGCCTATTCTGAGCACAGGAGACCCCTGGGTTCCCCAATTTGGGGCCTGCATAAGCTGGGTTCCTGGGCATAGGCATCCGGGGTCCTAAATGAAGGAGGGACAGCCAATTTCTGAGTTTCCTTTGGGTGATTTTGAGACTATGGGCTAGAGAGGGGACAGAAGCAGACAGGACAGGACTCCATGTGGGAAGACTGTTCTCTTTCCCTTATAATATAGGTAGGGGTGTGTGTGTGTGTGTGTGTGTGTGTGTGTGTGTGTGTGTAATGCTTAGTAAGCTTCCCATGCCCACAGGCTTGGGATAGGCCAAATACTTAAAATCTTGGTACTCTGAGGGTAGAGGGATAGAAAAGAGGTTTAAGAATCCATTCTATTGGGCACAGCTGAGGGAGTCTGGGTTCTTCAGCTTGCAGTAGAAATGAGTATGTTGGCTCTATCTTCAAATAGTTGAATGGCTGTTCTGTGAAAGGTATTAGGTGTTTCTGACTGTGCAACCCAGAGGGCAGAACAAAGCCCACATAGTGAAATTCGATGGAGGCCCATTGAGCAAGTGAAAACTTAATAAAACTTTCAGCTGTCAGGCATGGAATGAGATTTCCAGGAGGAGAGTGAGTTCCTCAGTTTTGGAGGCATACAAGCTGACACTTGGTAAATCCCTGTCTAGGATGTTGTGGAAGGATCCCTGAGGCACCTTCTATCTCTTAGACTCTGTGATTCTGGAAGTAAGGGCTCTAAGAGCTACCTGACTATATGAAGAGAGAAACGCAAAGCAATACCATGTTGCAGTATGTGCCCAGTGCCCAGAGTGGTCCTCTCCATCAGTGCTGGGGAAAGTCAGAGGAAGAGGGTCCCTAGGGGATGGAGCTGTCAGGGAAGGATTCTTGGAGGACTAAGATGGGTGATCTGAATGGGTGGAAGGGAAAAGGAAAACACTGATGAAGGGATGGAGTGAGCAAAGGCTCAGAGGTGGGTCCTTGAGGAGGCCTTTTGTTGTAGAAAAGTGAGAAGACTGGAGGGTAAATTGACTCCCAGGTGAGAAGGTGAGATTTCTTCTTGGGTAAGGCTTACTCCAGAAGAAATCAATCTGTCTCTCCCTCTCAGTCTCTCTCAGTCTCTCTCTCAGTCTCTATCTCTCTCTCTCACACACACACACACACACACACACACACACACACACACACACTTCTGCTTTATGTAAGAGAAACCAGGTTACAGTGCATGACCAGGGCAGCTCAGGAAGAAATCCCCAATGGCAGCCTGTGGGCAGGGATGTTGCAGTACAGAGACGTGGAGATCCTGGGCTTCCTAGCTGATTCTATCTGCACAGGTTTTGGGAACCTTCATCCCAGCCAAGGAGCCTTTTGCTCTTCCATCCTCCAACCCCATTCCTCCTCAGTCCATCCCTGGGGACTCCCTAGGGCCCTGAGCCAGGGGGATGCCAGATCTGGGGAGTTAAGCCTAAGAGCTTGGGGCATCTCAAAATGGAATCTTCTCTCCCTCCACTGCCCTAGCCCAGGCACTGACCCCTCCCTCCAGGCGCTACACAGCCTCCTCACTTTCCCTCCGCTTCTGATCTTCTCTCCTTTAATTCATTTTCTACACAGTGGCCAGAGTCAGATTTTATAATAGCTCATGCCTTTCCCCTGAGTAAAAACTTCAATGTCTGCCCCTGCTTCTAGAAGGAACCCCACATTCCTCCTATGCCCAATAAGGCCTTTCCTGGGTTTTCCTCTGCCCACCACTCTTCCCTCACTGCTGGCCTCCCTCTTGGGCCTCCCCGAGCTTTGGCCACACTGACCTTCTTCCTGTTTCTCTCATGGGCCAGTCCTTTCAGTGTTCCCTCTGCCTGGGATACTCTTACCCAGACCTTCATACAGCCAGCTCCCATTCCTCAGGCCCTCCTGACTCAGACACCACTTTCTCAGAGAAGCCTTCCTGGACTGCACTACCTAAGAAAGTCCCTTCCCTCCTCCCAGGTAGTCTGGTGGGGGAAAGCCTGATCCCTGAGTAGCATGCTCCACCCTGGGCCCAGAGGAGCAGAGATGCCCAGATGGGGCAGGGGGGAGGAGCAGGGTCTGAAAAGCCCAGTCTAGGATTCAGCCAGGGCGCTCTGCTGGCTGACAGACAGGAGGGGAGCTAGAGATATTTATCTGGTCCTGTCTACAGAAAGCCCAGCCCAGGGGGGCCCCACTTCCCTGCTGCCATTCAAGGTCCTGCTTTGCTCATCTACTCTTGTTGCCTCACACCTGTCACCGCAGCCAAGCTGTCTCTTAAGTGCCTGCCCCATGCTCCCACTTCCATCCTTTGTCTGTGACACCTGCACCCATCACTAGCTGTCCTCATTGCTGTCTCTAACCCTGCTACACTGTAACTTTCTGAAAGTGAAGATTGAGCCCTATCTCTCTCTAAGTTCCCTGCAGAACCTAAGGAGGGCTGGTACAGAATTGGTGTGCAACGAAATGCCATTGAGCATCTCCATAAGCTGAGGTCATCCCCTCCTTCGGGGCCCAGCCCTGGGGCTCCTTCCCTGACCCCCACCTTCCTTTTTTCCCCACTCTTCTACAGATGCTATCCTTTCTTTATGTCCTTCCTTTTGTATGCGAGGCTTTCATTCTGTCTGCCTGCCTGCCGGGCACTGGTTCCTCACAGCTCAACACAGAGCTGGCCACACAATAGGCCGGTTGATGGAGGATGTCATCTATCCTGCACGTGCCCCAGAGGCATACACAAATGGGGGTGGACAAAGGTAGAGTCCATGAAATGGAGGGGCCGATTCAACACCCCGCCTTGCTCACTTGGGGACTAGCATATCACACACGCACTCACTCACGCACATAACTTTCCCTGTCGCCATGCCCTATTTCCCACCTCTGACCTCTCTACCATCCTGGAGCCCTAAAGGATTGGCCTGAAGGTGAAAAGAAAATAGGTGAGGAAGAGCATATGGCTTTCCAGAAGCCCCATCCTTAAGATTCCCATCCCTTGGGTTCCCCCACCCGTGCTGGCCCTGCCTCCTTCTACTTAGTGCCATATGTCCTCTCCCCCCCACCCCCTGCTCCCAGCC